ACTCTCATTCTAAGCATTGCTTTGTGCCTGCCAGAGCACGTGCCCTCAGGCAGCATGGGGAAGTTATGGATCCTGTCCCAGGAGAACTCCCCATAAGCAAAAGGAAACTTATTTCCAACTGTTTCCAGCATTGCCATGTGGAAGAAAACCCACACAGGACAGCCCTGACAGCACGAGGGTGAACAGCTCCTGAAACTCTCCGGGTTCACGTCAGAGTGGATGCCTAACACTAGGGGCACAAAGATTTTAAAGGAGTTTAAAGCAGAGCTGCTGCTGAAAGGGGCTGCAGCCTCTGCCATGCTGCCCTGCCTCAGGCACCACACGCGTTTGTGCAGCTTTGTTGTGGAATCCCTGCAAAACCTCAGCTGGAAGGGACCCAACCCTCCCCTGGCATCGCAGCCAGGCTGGCCTGGATGAAGATGGGGACACCACCAGCTCCTCTGCAACCCCCTCAGCCTGTGACCTCCTCACACAAAGGTTTTTTCCATGTGTACATTATCAGAATTTGTGCCACACACATCCTTGGATGGGGATTGGGCAGGTTACAAAGCACAAGAAGCCACACCTGACCTATTCAGAGAGCATCCAAGCATTACTCCCAGCTTGAAGCATGGTCAATTCCAGCAAAAGAACCAAACAGAACCACAGAATATCCTGAACTGGAAGGGACCCACCAGGATCACCCAGCCCAGCCCCTGTCCCTGCCCAGACCCCCCAACAATGCCAGCCTGTCCATCCCTGGCAGCGCTGTCCAAACGCTCCTGGAGCTCTGGCAGCCTCGGGGCCGTGCCTATTCCCTGGGGAGCCTGGGCAGTGCCCAGCACCCTCTGGGGAAGAACCTTGCCCTGAGCTCCTCCATTAACCTCCCCTGACACATCTCCAGCCGTTCCCTCAGCATGGCAAATGCCTGGAATTTCAGCTATATTTCTGCTTTTTTTCCCTGGCTGCCTCAGAAAAAGATGCTACAAACAGCTGGGGAAAACAGATGAAAGTGCAGAGCCACAAACTCTCCTGGTTCTGACCCCATCAGCTCCTCAAGGAGCTGGGGACAGGGAGAGAGGGGCCAGCACAGGCCTGGAGCCGGGACAGAGCTGCCCAAGGCACAGCCACACCAGGCAGGGACAGATCCCTGAGCTCGCGGGATTCCCAGGGCTGGGAAAACCCAGGTCAGGCTTCACTCAGTTTTGCTTTAGGAGTCAGGAAGCCCCAGCTCCCCTCCACACTACCAGGGACACAGTGGGTTGTCCTGGACAATTGGCGTCTGCCAGGGCTTTTGGATTTGATAAATGGGTTTTTTTGATCATGCTTTTCTCTCTGTCACTACAGCTCCACTTCAGGCTCTGTGGCCCTCAAGTCACCAAGACAGTGACCCAAATTTCATCAGGGAGCAAAGGACACAACTGGATCTCATTTTGAGTAAGCAAGGCTAAACATTCTGCTCTCATTCTTGACCACATTTTTTAACAGCCACACTTCCATCCCTGCCCCCAATCCATCCAGAACAGGCATGGACACATCACACCAAAGGTGCTGTATTTCCAGAAGACAGGGAGAGTTTCCCCAAAGGAAAATTCACAGCATGGGATAGGGTTAAATCAAACCAGCAACAGTGCTTGCAGACAACTGGGTCTTTATTTACGTATTTAAAGTGCTACAAAAAACTGAAGGAGCCTCCATCTGGCAACTTCCTTTTCTGCAGTCTTAACTCTGTTGGAAGAAGCAGAAACAGCTCATTAGTGCAATCTTTCAGAAATTAAATGTTACACAGCAATTTCAGTCAGAGCTGGGCACTTACAGCTGGGCACTCGATGGCACCACTGTTGATGTCATCGATGATGTCGTGGGGGTGTCTCCCATCAATGCTGCAGCCCACAGACTGGGCAGTGCCAAGGATCTCCTTGATGGTCCCTGCAGCAGAAGACACATCTTTGCTTTACCAGGGAAACATCTCAGGAGCTTATCTGGAACAGCCTGGGCTAGTGGAAGGTGTCCCTGCCCATGGCAATGGGGGGAACTCATAAAACTTTAAGGTCCTTTCCAACACAAACGAGCCTGGATTCTGACATTCACACGGAACTCCTCACAGCTCTCAGCTGTGTCCCTCTCTTCCCTCAGGGGTTTACAGGCTGCAGCCTCGGGGTTCAGCAGGGAGCATCACGTCCCTTACCCAGATCTCACACCCTGGATTCTCCCAGGAACACAACTGGAAACTCCCTGTGCCTCTCCCCAGGTGTTGGGGCTGCCTGTTCCCAGCCAGCACAACTCAGCTGTGGACCCTCCCTCCCAGGGAAGGGAGCAGTGAAGGAGCATTCCCTGCAGCCCGAGGCCAGACTCACCCGAGAGCTCCCGGGCCAGGGAGCGGTGCCGCATCTGCCGCGCGATGTTCACGATCTCGTCAAAGGTGACGCTGCCGCTGTGCTTAACTGCGAGGGAACAGCAGCAGTGAGGCCACCTGGGCACTGCCAGTTCCTGCTTCCTCTGGGAGCACCACTCCCAGCACTCAGACCACGCGGAGAAATGGGAGTTTGCAGCTCCAGCAGGACTCCTGTCAGTGCTGTGCTCCCAGACTGCAGCACAAACGACCCCCAATTCCTCTTTCTAAGGCTGTATTTCTGCCAACTCTCCTGGCTGGGACAGGCCCTGTGCTACAGGACAGCACCTGCTCCACCCCAGCTTTGCCCAGAGAAGCTGCAGCTGCCCTGGATCCCTGCAACTGTCTATGGCCAGGCTGGACAGGCCTTGGAATAACCTGGGATAGTGGAAGGTGTCCCTGCCCATGGCTGGGGGGGGAATTGATGGGTTCTTAAGTCCCTCCCAACCAAAACCAGTCCATGACTCCATAAGCTCCTCACAGACCTCTGCTGATGTGCACATCTTGGTACCCTGGCACTGCAGGGGTGCCCAAAACCAGCCTCGTGCTTCCTGTTTTCCAGTTTGTGTTGAATAATCCCAGAGAAAGGTACTGGTATTTCCCTTCTTTTAGCCCCAAAACATTCAGAACCAAAGCCAGGGGAACACTTACTGTTCTTCTGCTTCTTCCTGTCACGAGGTGGCTCCTTCAGAGCTTTGATAATCAGAGCAGAGGCAGAAGGAACAACCTCTATCTAAATGCAAAGAGATTAATATTCCCCCCCATTCCAGAAACTCAACCATTTAATTATCTCAGCAAAGGTAATTGCCAGAGCAGTGTGGGTTTGATCAATTCCCTCATGCTCCAAGATTTTTGTGCTGCAGAAATCTGTTCCCAGGTTTTCGGCACAGGCCTCCCCACGTGCAGGAGAGGACTGCTTCCTGCCTGGGGCTTTCTCTTAGCTCACCACTGGAATGTACCAGCCACTGGCATCAGAACAGGTACGGTGGCAGGTGGCTAGAGGAGTCGGCAAGATTTTAAACTATTTACTTTTATGTTGCTTTTAAAAAAAGCGGTTTTTTTTGTTTTGGTTTTTTTTTCCGCTCAAGACGTTTTGTAGAAAGAACAATTTATCTGCAACAAGATGAAAATTGAATTTTGACACTTGAGGATCTTTTTTCCAAGATCCACCAAGCCCAGGCTCCACACACCTTCCCCCCACCCACGTTTTAAGGTCTTCCCAGAAGACCCCCACACACCCCCTGTGTGGCACTCATTTTATCCACCTCGGAAGGATGAAGGGCTGAGTGGACCCTGCCGGGATCCGGGCCGGTGGTTGGAGCAGGCGGAGCCCGCGTGGGCTCCACGCCTGCAGCACCGGCCGGCCCTTGCGGCGTGCGGTACCTGCGCTTGCCTGTTCTGGATCGTCAGCTTCACCGTGATCCGCAGCCCCTTCCAGTCGCCCGTGGCCTTGGCGATGTCATCGCCCACCTTCTTGGGGGACTAAGGGAGGACACGTGGAGGTCACACAGGGCTCGAATTAAAGCCGAGAGCCCCAGCGCTGCCCCGGCTTCTTCCCCGTGTGCGGTACTGCCGGGACACCTCTCCAGGACGGAGCACAGGGCACTCTTCCCCCCCGCCTTCGGAACGTATTTTATCCCTCCCACTCAATTTCCCCCGGGATTCACTCACTCTCCCCAGCAGGACACGCTTCCCACTCCACCCGGCACATGTTTTATCCCTGCCCCCGCTCCCCAACTCCCCCGGCCCCGGTACGTACCAGCCCCAGGGGTCCGATCTTGGGGGCCAGCGCGGACGTGGCTCCGACCTCTCCGCCGGTGCAGCGCAGGTAAACTGCGGGGACAGCGCCGCGTCAGCCGCGCCCGCCGGGCCCCGCGGCCCCCGCCCGCCTCCCGCGCCCGCCGCCACCACGTACCGACTTTGATCTCGTTGGGATCGAACTTGGGCGGCATGGCGGCGGATGGCGGGGATGAAGGCCGATGGCGGCAGACAGAAGCGGATGGAGGCGGATGGAAGCAGATGGAACACGGTGCAGGACAAAAGGCCTTCCGCCTTCCTAGGGCAGCGAAAAGGCAGCGTGGGCGGCGCAGGCCTAAGATATAGCTCTGAGATATCGCGAGAGGTCAGAAAACTATAAATTGCAGCCGAGATCTCGCGAGAGGTGAAGAGCCGGCTGTGGCGGGATCTGTACAGATCTATTTATTTGTATTTATATCTCTGTATATCATTAAGTATAGATAGATAGATAGATAGACAGACAGACAGATAGACAGACAGACAGACAGACAGCCCTATTACAAAATGTGGACTATGTGGAAGGGTGGTGAGGCACTGGTGGCAGGGGCTGGCCAGGGCAGGGGTGGAGTCCCCACCCCTGGAGGTGTCCAAGGAAGCCTGGCCGTGGCGCTCAGTGCTCTGGGCTGAGGACGAGGGGGGAATCAGGCCCGGGTTGGACTCGGTGACCCCCGGGGATCTTTCCCATCCCGAATGACTCCGGGATCCCGTGGCCGGGCGGGGCGGTCCTCCAGCCGCGTGGGGGCGCTGGAGCGCGGAGGCCAGAGCGCTGTTGCCGGGGCGGGGCGCTCTGGCAGCGCCGCTCGCTGGTGCCGCTGATCACGTGAGCCGGCGGTGAGGCAGCGATGGCGGCGCCGAGCGGTGAGCGGGGCTGGGGAGGGGGAACTCTCTGTGGGATCCGCTGTGGAATACTGGACTGCCCCGGGCCGGCGCCGGGCACCGCGCCTCGGGGGTGCTCCTCGGAAGGGCTCGGGAGCAGGCGGTGCCCGGAGCTGCGCGGTGTCCGCCGCGGAGCAGCCGCTGCCCTCGCTCACTGTCGCTGCTGTCCCCAGGTGTCGGGCCGGTGCCCGAGGGCTGCGAGCCAAAATCCCTGCAGGGTCGACTCAGTCCGAGGTTTTAGACCCTCGGGCACAGAACGGTTCTGTTCTGGATGAGGGAAGGGTAAAGAAGACGAGGAGCTTGGAAGCTGTGTGACCCTGGGAGGGGGGACCCGCAGAGAGAAGAAGAGAATAGTGGTGGTGAGAGAAAGGAAGGACTGAGAGGCAGAGCTGGACTGGAGAAGACGAGCGGAGATTTGTTCCACGCATTGCCAGGAGAGGCCCCGCGCAGGCTCAGGCTGTGGCAGGGGTGGCAGCTCCAGCACAGAGAGCAAACGATGCAGGACAGCGAGTTCCAGAACTGCAGTTCAGCTGTTACCTTGTCTGTGCCTGTTCCTGCAGGGCTGGCTGCTGACAGCCTGTCAGACAGCCAGAGCATCCTGACAGACAGCCAGAGCATCCTGACAGACAGCCAGAGCATCCTGTGGCTGTCTGGTGACACCTCTGTCCCCCAGGGCCAGGCAGCATCTTCAGGAGCCTACCCAGATCCAAAGCCTGACTCAGTGCTCCCTCACTGTGCTCCTGAGTGTGTTTTCCTGGAGTAAATAAAACATCTCTTTCCACACTCTCGCCTTGTCTTGTTACACTGCCAAGATGGATTTATGTCCAGAATTTTTTTAAAACTGGGGCTTTTCCCAGAACTGTGTTGTTGCATTTTAATTACAGTTCTTAGTAAAATGAAGCGTTTGGTTTTATTTTGCTGTCATCACAGACTGGGAAACACCCAGAGGACATTCCATTGCCCTTCCTCACCCTGAGTGTGTGGCTGCTCCTCAGGCAGAGCTGTGCCTTCAGGGAGCAGTGGGGGTCAGGATTTGGTGTCCGTGGGTGCTCACTGCCTGCAGTGGGGTCAGGATTTGGTGTCAGTGGGTGCTCACTGCCTGCAGGGGGATCAGGATTTGGTGTCAGTGGGTGCTCACTGCCTGCAGGGAGCAGTGGGATCAGGATTTGGTGTCTGTGGGTGCTCACTGCCTGCAGTGGGATCAGGATTTGGTGTCCGTGGGTGCTCACTGCCTGCAGGGAGCAGTGGGATCAGGATTTGATATCCATCCATGGGTGCTCACTGCCTGCAGGGTGGGTGCTGGCCGAGGCACTTACAGGCAGTTCTTTCAGTAATTTAATAAATAAAAATTATATCATGTAATGGTCACTTGCCAAGAGCCTTTCTCACTCCTGGCTGCTGAGTTTGATGTGTCATCACTAAAGTAAATTACCACTTTTAATAGCTGTTCAATCCATTTGTTCAATCTCTGATCCTTCATCTTCTGAAGCTTGGTGCAATTCTTTTCCTGTTCACTGTCTGCTCTTCAGCCTTCATGTCTTTATCCCTTTTCTTGGGTGAAAACTGATGATTTCCCACTATCCCCATGACCAGTGGGATCTGAAAGGTGAGATGGGACAAGGGGATTCAGAAATTGCTCAGCAGAGTTGAACATGGTCATCAATTCAAGGATATCTTATTGCAGGCACCTTTTCCTTCCGGTTTCTCATCTTGAATTCTCCTTTTGTTTGTGCCTCTGATGTCTTGTGTTTGATTGCTGCCTTGCATTTCCCTGACAGTCAAGTTCCCTTCTTGCTCAATCCTTTGAGTTCTGGCTCTCACCTCTTCTCCTGGGAGCTGGGTCTGAGCAGCATTACAGTAATCTGAACTGGTTAAAGAGGCAGAAATTGGGATGGCAGAGAAAGATCCACAGAACTGTGGGACATGAGTTTATTGCCACGTCCTGCTGTGGCCCATGGCTTCTCTCAGTGAGGGGTGTGACAGCAGGACAGTGACTCAGGATGTCTCTGCATCCTTGTTCCTGCAGTGACAGGAACAGTGACATGAATGTAATTATATTGAATTATATTGAATTATTTTACTCTTGCAGTGAGGATTTATCTCTGTAACGATTTTACAGAGTTTTTGGCAGAGCTCTCCCTGCTCAGGGAACATCCCTGGCTGGATCCTGTAGGTACCTGCTCTTCAGGAGAGTTTGAGGCCAGTTTACAGACACAGAGCTGGCAGAGAAGCAGCATCTTATGTAGAGCACCTGAGCTCCACTGAGCACTGAGTTCAGTGTTCTGTAGCTGTGCCAGTTACTGCTCCACTGGTGCAGTAGTGGCTCTTCTGGGCTGATTTTTTAATTGCATAGCATAGAAAAACAGTGTTTAAAAAAGTCACTGCAAGTGTTTAAAAAGTTCCTCCCTGTTCAGGGCTCGCTGTTGCCCTCCTGCTCTTCTCTCACCTCCCAGGCAGATCCCTGTGTCAGGTCCCTCTGGGAGCCCCTGTTCACCTGCAGCTCCAGCTCAGGCTCTTTCTGCATTGCCCATTTGTGCCCCCTGCTTTTATGCAGCCACAGATTAACCCCTTTTTTCTCCTTGATTTCATTATTCAACTGGCCCCATCTCTTTTCCAGCATCCCCACTGGTACCACCTCATTCCCAGCTGCTCTCCCCATTCCTTGTCCAGCCACAGCTTTCTGCCTTTCCTTCCAAATCTGCCAACTTTTTTCTCCCTTGCTGGCTCAGAGCCCTGTCCCAGAGCTGCCTGGTGTCTGTTCCCCTTCAGCCACCTGCACTCCTGATTCCAGCAGGCATCTTCCTGCACCCACCTTTCCTCTCTCAGGTTCAGCTTCTCTTCCCTTACACTTGAGCCAACTGGAATCCTTGCTCTCAGTTCTTTATTATTGTGCCAGAATTGACTTTAAATAGTTTGGATTTTATCCTTGGTGCTTGATTTCTTGATACAGCTTTTTAATTTCTGGAGTGGACCCTGCATTTCTCTGATCCCTCAGCAGCCTTTCTCTGTGCCTATCCCAGGGCTGACCCAGACAACCAACCCCTTTCAGACCACAGCAGGGCTTGAGTGCCTCATGTTTGTACTTCCCAGTGCTGGAACCTGCCTGTGGGATCCAGCTAAACAAAGACAATTGCTGACTCAATTCTTTTCTTTTTAACCTTCCCCTCTGTCACATATTAGGTCCCAGTTCTGCAGCCCAGGCTCTCCAGCCAACACAGACCCCAGGATCCCTCAGCTTTTCTCTGCACTGACCATCTGTGCCCCTGGACAGAGCCATAGTCAGGGCTGAAGATGCCTCTCTTCTCCAGGAAGAAGAAACCCAGCGACGATGCTCGGAAACGCCTTGAGTACCAAATGTGCCTGGTAAGCACTGCCAGGGCCATTGCTGTCCTCTGTGCCAGTCCTTGAGTACCAAATGTGCCTGGTAAGCACTGCCAAGGTAATTTCTGTTCTGCCTGCCTGATCCTGGCTCCAGGGATTTGGTACATCCCTTGCATGACCAGTAACCATGTTCCATGACCAGCAGTTGTGTTCCTGATCCCACCAAGACAAGTTTTCTTCCTAATGTACCTCAGGGAATTCCTGCCTCTCTGTCTGCCTTTGCCCTCCCACCCCCACATCCCCGTGCTGCCACTTCCATCCCTCTCTGTGTGGTTCCATGGGGCATCCTCCACCCCACCCCACCTCATACCAGCCTGCAGGTGAGACCTCAGCTCTCCTTTCTCCTTCATGTCCCTTTGCCCTTACAGATCAACCAGTTTACTTTTCCTCCCAGAGAACCTGTGGCTTCCTGTCATATCTGCCTTGCCTTGTGCCTCTCTTTAGCTTACCATTATTCTGATCTTCCTGTCACTCTGAGGATTAACTGGTTAAATGTTGCTGTTTGTTCTCCTGGACTGGGATTTAACCAGGATGCTCTGGCACAAAGAATCACCTGGGGAGATGGGGGGGCTCAGCCTGAAGAAAAGGAGGCTCAGGGGGGCCCTTGTGGCTCTGCACAACTCCCTGACAGGAGGGGACAGCCGGGGGGGTCAGGCTCTGCTCCAGGGAACAAGGACAGGAGGAGAGGGAATGGCCTCAGGCTGGGCCAGGAGAGGCTTAGGCTGGATATTGGGACTTTTATTTTCTTGAAAAGCATTGTCAGACATTGCAATAGACTGCCCAGGACAGTGGTGGGGTCACCATCCCTGGAAGTGATCCAGAGATGTGTAGATGTGGCACTTGGGGACGTGGGTTAGTGGTGTCTGTCCAGGTCCATCACTGTTAGCAGCTGCATTGGATGGACTTGATTTGAACATGGAAAATACTTTGGAATAGAACCACAGAATCCCAGACTGGTTTGGATGGAAGGGACTTTAAAGCCCATCCAGTCTCACCCCTGCCATGGACAGGGACACCTCCCACTGTCCCAGAGTGCTCCAAGTCCTGTCCAGCCTGGCCTTGGACACTGCCAGGGATGGGGAGTCCACAACCTCTCTGGGCAAGCAAGAGGTGCTGTATTTCTGCATGGTCTGATTCTCTGGATGTGTTTCTTCCCTCTGCAGGCAAAAGAAGCTGGTGCTGATGACACCCTTGACATATCCAGATGTGAGCTCTCAGAGGTATGTCCTGTACAACTTCCAGTCTTCACTCACAGCTCTGATTCTCTGTCTGCTTCTTGGTACCAGGTTTACCCTCATGCCTGTGAACTTTGAGACAGAAATTGTTGCTGGTCCACCTTTTCCTCTATCTCCTGATCTCTGGCTTTCAGCTGGGGGCTTCTTCCCCTGTGTTTTTGGTGGGAGTTTGCCTGTCCTTTCTCATGCTTCAACACCATTTCTGCCCTGGGAATCCTTTAGAAGGGCAGAGTGGTCTCACACCCTCTACCAGTACCTTGTTTGACCTAGTGTGGGACCTCATGGCTTAATTTTGCTGATCCTGAGGGGATTTGCTTTCCAAAAGCTCAGTATTTCTAACCTTAGAGCTACACAGTCTGCCACCCATGGTTGTATTTCTGTGTAAGTGAAAATCCTACTTCTGCTTCCAGGTTGCTGGTTAAGGATGGAAATCTCACTCCCAGCTTGGCTTCTTTTATGGCAACCAACTAAATGAGGAACAATCTGTCTGCTGGTGTGTGGGCAGGCAGTGACAGAGTGCCAGGCACCCAGACACAGCTTTTCCTGCTGGCAGCCAGGCCAGCCTCAGGCAGAAACCCATTTCTATCTCACTTTTAATTTTATTCCTTGTCTCATGCTTCTAAACTGTTGATCCTGAATACAGGATGCCCTTGCCAAGCAAGGTGGGGAGATCTGACACCATGCTGGAGAGAAGAGCTGCCTGCTGTGCAGTGTGAAATGGCTTTGCTGAGACTTTGGGATGTTTTGTTCCAAGCAGGTTGTGTGTGGGTTTGCAGGCTGTGTAGGACAGCCTGGGTGTGGCAGGGTGGCAGGCAAAGGATCCACCCAGCCAGCTCCACTTAGGCCCACAACTGATCTAGGATGCCCAGCAGCTTCTTTTGGACCATAAAACTGTCTTGCTGTTTCATTTTCATTGTTGTTTCAGTAAGTGAAGTGAGACATCAGTTTGGTTTTACCATTAGCCATGGGCAGGAGTCTGGCTGCTGGTTCTGTGCTGCAGGGAAGGTCGCAGTGCCCAGCTGTGCCTGGCAGGGCCTGAACTGGCATCTCCTGTCCTGCCTGTCCCTCTCCTGGCACATCAGGGACATTCTGTCCTGCCTGCTGCTCACCTTTCTCTCCCAGCACACTGCACTGTGTTTGTGAGGTTGCCAAAACACAGAATGCATTTCTGTGATGACTGAACTGAACCTCTGCCTGAACTCATCTGCACAATGAATGTTAAATCACACAAAGCTTGAACTCCTGCCTAAGCCACAGCCTGCTCTGTGACATTGCTGTGTCATGGAGAGCCACTGGAAGCTGTTTAAATGGAAGCTCCCTGGGAAGTAGTGGGCCAAAATCACATGCCAGTAATTTTAAACATCACTTTTCTTTTCAGTTAAGCTGTTCACACTTCACCAGTGGACAGTGTAGAGCTGCTTAAAAGAGAAGTCTGACATGACTTTTTTTAATTGTTTTTAGGTTCCTTATGGGGCCTTTGCAACTTGCAAGGTCTTGCAAAAAAAGGTAATGTTGTAATCAGAAATTATTAAATAATGCTATTAATAGGCTTAACTGTTGTATTCGTGTTTGAAATGACTGTGTGTGGTTGTTTTATGGTGGTCTAGAAGGAATTTGCTTGTAAGGAGTTTGTCCACCTGTGTGAGATCAGTTGGAGTCAGATCAATCCTGTCTGTGTTTTTTAAAGTGAACTTCTGGCAGGAAAGGTGAGGTGGCTGTTTTAGCCCATCTAAGGATATTTGTCATGTGGGGAAATGGGCTCTGCTTTAGCTCTCATGTAAAATGTTTGATCTTCTCTGACAATCCATTTTCTATTTTAATGTTTTATATAATAGTGAATAAGATATTGAGCTCTTGCACAGCCTCCTCAATTCAATCTCAACAAAAATGCTTGTTCTGGTGTCTCTTGTGTTTATGTGTCAATGGGGTTTTTCCTCCCCAGGTGCTGATTATTCATACAAATAATCTGACATCTTTAGTTCCAAAGTCCTGCAGCCTCCTGAGTCTCATAACCCTGAAGGTAATTGGGATTCTTAACAGTTCAACTGCAGCCAATTTTCCTTGGATTTGAGCTGCATTAAAACACAGCAGCCCAAGTAAATCCCTTCTGGCTGAGTGGCTTTGCCAGGACTCAGTGCCAAGGAGTGACACCTGCCTTTTGTGGGTTCACCTCCCAGGCTGACACACAGCAGTCACTGAGTAACGTCACCATCAGTCCCACAACTCATTCATCCCCTTCAGAATCCCACAATTCCCCCTCAGCAGCCTCACTGGTGGTGGTGGTCAGGCAGAGCTGGGTGTGTTATGGGGTAGATCCATTTCTCCCCTGCTCTGGAGGGTCACTGGAATGGGAAGGAGAATGGTGATGATGAGTGTGACAGGGCTGGATCACCATCATGCTGGGATTCCCAAGAGGCAGAGTCATTTCAGCAGCTCCACATGGAGGGAGGGAGGTCTCCAGGTCGAGTCCTGCCCTCTCCCTGCACTGCTGTTGGACCAGTTCAGCTCATTTGATCCTGCAGAAATTCCTTCTGCCAGCCTGGGGATGATTTATCCAGTTGGCTCCTCCAGTTTTGTAGGACTGTTCCCTCAGTGTCACTGCTCACCCTTGTCTCTTGTTTGTTACTGATGCCTGGATTTCCAAAATTCAAAGTTTCCAAATATTAAGTACTCATGTCCCCTGGAAAACTTGAGCTGCTTTTCAAAGTCCCATTGGAAGCAAAGTAATTTTCATAGTGAGATAATTAATTACTTTTGTTCCCAACCTTGTTTGGTGACATTATCTGCTTTTCCAGGTCCTGGACCTGCATGACAACCAGCTGGCTTCACTTCCTGCTGATATTGGTCAGCTGACAGCTCTTCAGGTAAAAGATTTTGCAGCTCCATCCCAGGTGCCTGTACAGGGCATGTTTGAGGATAGCAGGGATATGGGGTTACTGCTGTTTGGTTTATAATTAATCACAACTTCTGTGATGGTGGCATGTTGTCAGATCTATCACATCACCCTGACTGTTGCTGTTGAACTGGCTGGTTAGAGGGACAGCAGGAAAAAAGGAGGGAAGGAGCAGGAGAAGAGCAGGAAAAGCCAGATTTGGTTATGTTCTCCCAGCTCGGTGCAGCCCAAGGGGCTGCCATGGCCAAGCAGATGCTCTGAGCAAGCAGAGTCCTGTTGATCTCCCCAGACACTCAGGTTTTGCTGTTCTCCCTGGTGTGGTTATGTTGAGAACCCAGAGCAGTGTCTAAGGGCACACTCAGGGTCTCCCTACTCAGGGGGCAGCTTTAGGTGGGAGCTGGAATTGGGGAGGGCTGCCCTGGACACTCCAATTCCCAGTTCCTGTATCTGGATCCAGCACCAGATGCTGGTGGTGAGCAGGGTTTCTCACTGCCCCTGGTAGCTTGGCATGCCCTTTATCCAGGGCTGGTGGAAAATAATTTTTTTTAACCCT